AATAATTCATTCTTTGAATATGCCACGAATTCACTTCATGAATGATCTTACTTTTGATTTGCTCACAAAGGAATTTGCCGACGTTTGACTGCATCGACTACTCTTTTATGCCTCTTTGTTGGTCAAGCTTGATTTCGCAAAATTTATTTATTTCAGTTAGCTATGAAATGTGAATTCAGGGTATACTATGGGGTGAGGGATGATAGTACTTTCGCCGTCATTTTTGAAAGGCTATAGGCTAGTATAGACTGTAGATACGACGTTTTGTGAGACCTCGTTAGATTAGTTAGAGAGTACAGAGTGATTTCAATATAAAAAAGTGAACTAGTTAGTGTGTTATCTATCGCAGTTACTTTGTTGTTGTACAATAATAATAATTGTTTGTTGTACATTAGTTAATGTCATATGCAACGTAGGCCTACAGCAATATACGAAAATGTACACGCGTTCCAATTTGTAGAAATGTTAAAAGAGGAAATACAGATATTTATTATTGCTACCAGATAATTTAAAAATACCTGCCAAGGAAAGAATTGCTCTACTACAAAAGAAATAATATCGATTGGCTGTATAGAAGAAGAACTTCCTGAATTTTTACAGGTTTGAAAGGTTTACCTGTGAGAAGAAACGCAAAAGTTACAACTGTTTAAATGAAGATGAAGTAATAAGAGGTGATAAGATTCAGCCATTGGAGAGAAAAAAACATTAGCTTTAGTAACCAAGATACGTACTTGTTCTTAAGGAGAAATATTTAATTAAGGAGCAGATTGTCTGTTGAAGTGAACATGTTCTGGTTTTATTCAGAAGGTATATGGGTTTGAAAGACCAAAAATTGATGTTATTATTGTTTTTTCGTGGGGATGGGGTGGGTAGTTTTTATAGGAATAACCTCAATAGACCGAATAGCCTTGTGTCACCTTGTTCGTTCTGTGTTCCTATTTATGTTGGGCTATATTGGGAATATAGAAAAATAAGCATAGAAGTGCATGCGCAGCTTCTCTTTCAAGATGGCAGCATTTACTTTAACTTCATCGAGAAATGTAAACCGTGTACTTAATCGGTTTATTTTTAATCATAACGTTAGAGCGTTTTCGACATTAAAGGTAAGTCGTAAAAAGTAAAATTTAGCTCTTTAAGATGTATTCTTAAAAACGACAATTTGCAATTCATATTAAGTACGTGGGTATAGTGTTTTGTATTTGCTTACAATTATTGTAGTACTACTATTACTCCAAGTTCCAACCGGTGTTAGTGGTAGCCTCTAGTACTATTACTAATAGAATTACTAGTAAAGAAATTCAAGTATTTCTGCAATGTTATTTTTTTCAAAAATAAGGTTCCTATCAAAATTTACCAATATTATCCTTGACTCTATTTTCCGAATGGTATAACGTTATAAACTTTTGATGATAAATATTCTGCTTGAATAAAGTATAAGCAACAAGACTTATTTTTAAGAATTCCTTTACGCCTTAACAATAACTTTCTGGACTTTAATTTTCTATAAGCTCCACCATACACAATTTTACTATTAATTTCATATTTTCATGAATTTGCCATTTTCATTTATTAATAACTTAACAATAATTTTTGAGAATGAATGTAAAACATTGAATAAAACCATTCCTTTTCAATAAGTATCACCAAACAAACATATGATTCCAAAATTATTAATATTTTTTCATATAGATTAGACTCGCAACTCTCCTCCCCTTAATTTTCTACAGTTTTTCTCAATCACAGACACAGCTCTTATTTATGTTATCTGTTGATATTAAGCTGAGGATATGGATGAAATTTGTATTCCACATGCAATATTTCATTAAAATGTAAATACATTATTACTGTTAGTAATAGTAGTAGAGACTACCACCTGATATGACCAGTTAGCATTTAATAAGAAAAAGTAGACATAATGTTTTACTAATATGAATAATTTCATTGAATTAGAAAGTGAACAATAGTCACATTTATGATGAATTTGTCAATAATTTCTTATCAAAACTAGCTTTTTTGCCCGTCAAAAATGACGGGGCAAATATTACCAACCCCACCCCATAGTATACCCAAACCTCGCATTTCATAGCTAACTGAAATAAATAAATAAAAACTTGACCAACAAAGAGGCAGAAAAGAGCAGTCGAGGCAGTCAAATGTCAGCAAATTTCTTTGTGAGCAAATCAAAATTAAGATCATTCATGAAATGAATTTGTGGCATATTCATAGAATAAATTATTGGTAAAAATCAGTTAGGTTAACACTACATTCTAATAATGGCTTTTATGTCATGCTGCTTAGCAATAAAAGTGTAACCTAATATTGTTGTTAGTCTATGTAGTGAAAGTATAAAATGAAATGTATAGGCAATAAAACTGGAAAAATTTGTTGATATTTTTAATTTGGAATCTATTGATTAAAGAGGTCCATTTTTTATTAAAAACATTGGTGTTATAACAGAAAATAGCTTAATTCAGAAATGATTTAAGTTTAAAATTGAATTGATATTTTTAGTTTCACGATAAATTTTATGCACATTGCTCTAAGCTATATGATCCCACACTATGTCTTTAGGCTTATTAAACCAACACTCACTACACTTATAAGGTTTCACGACACCACGTCCCACCACCCCTTGCACTCCCTTTACTAAAATTGTAATGAGCAAACAGTAATCAAACTATTCTATCTGGATAAATGCATTTTGGCTTTTATGACTCCTACTATTTTGAGAAATCAAGCATGATGTGATGTGACACACACACTGTCTTTTATATAGGTTAGATAATTTTGCATGAACTGATTGGAGCATTTTAAATAAAAGTAATTTAATATTTAATAAAAAAGCACATCTAGTACCTGTTAAATAAGAAAGAAATACATTGAAGTAATGATAATTATACTTTATATTAATTATTAGTTACTTAAGTGAATGATTGTATGATGTTTTAAAGGTGAAGCTTAATAAGTACACAAAAATGTATAAATTGTAATAACTGACTATGATACCACAAAGATTTACCACAGTAATTGGAGTAAGGATTAATGAAATAAACTTAACACTGTTTAGACTGATTGATGTGACGGAATCACAGTGTATGCATAGATTGTTGCATAAAGACTGCAAAACTGTCCATCATTAACTACCAAATTATTTATTAATCTGTGAGGTATAGGGACATATAAAACTGTTCATTTGATTCCAAGATGTAACAAGGATTCATTTAGCTAATCTAGACTATATCCCATTTTCTCTTTTTCATTTCATGCATCCAACTATGATTATAAATTATTGAAACTTCTTCGAATTTGCAAAATCTACTATATCTGAAGGCAAGTTATTCTATAGGCTAACCACCTTCAGAAGCATAGACAAGTTTTTCACTTTAGGGGTGCTCTCCTTGGAATGTACAATGTAAAGTAGAAACAAAAATGTTTCTCAAAGTATTGGTAAACTTGTAAAAATAATTGGGGTTACTGAATCACCCATTTGTATGGCCTTGAATCTATTCTGAAAGTAACACTGCCTTAATTACTGTCATGACTGAGTTTCCATTATCTTGGAATTACTATGATTTAAAGTCATATTCCAACAGATTCTTGTCCATCTGTAATATCTCAACATTCTCAATACAACTATAACTACCCCGAAGATGAAGGCCAGGCTGAGGCACTGATCCCTGAGGCACTCCACTACTAATAAGAGACTTTGAAATGGTGTATTTAAGTGTTTTACACTCACAAAAAAAGAAACTTATCATTCTATAAGTATTTGAAGAACTTGTAGCATTCTGCCACAATTTAATTCTTCGTAAACACTTAAATACACTTAAATATTTGAGTGTAAAACACTTAAATACACCATTTCAATTTTCGATACCTCACTACTATAAAGCACCTCTAAATGAGTTTTATGAAGGCTTGTTAGAGCCACTGGTCCTCTTATTCTTACCAAGAAATATATACTTTTGAATTCAGATCTTATTATTTTTCATGGCATTGGCCATGCAATCAGTTATTGTTTGTATACACAGATAAGCTTGCAGATAACTTCATGGGATACTGTTTGTTGCTAAGACTTCGATACTTTAATTTTAATTGGCCTAGACAAGCAACATTACATGCATAGTAATATGTCATTTTTGAACTATATTGTATATAGAAATCAAATATTTGTAGCTGATAAACTAAGTCAGTGTTTAATAATGGTTGGAGACCTGATGTACCTCATGTACATGATAATGACAAAACCTTGTCGAAACGTTGTACATTTGCTGTTATGTTAAACTTGTATTAGTTTTTCTTCATTACCCATTCAACCATTATTAGTCTCAAAAGTGGGTTCCTCGTCATTGAATTTGAAATCGAATTTAAGTCAGTGTTTTAAAGTTTAAATTACAAAAATTGGATATGAATTAATAGCAAATTGAGACTAGTGAGAAAAGTTTTAGCAAATTTGATCATGATTTAATTTGATGAACTATCATCTGCATTACCCGAGACTGTAAGGGCTGCCATGTTGTTCAGAGGTCATCATAGTTCAGTGGCACACTGTGAACATATCCCAGTTTAAACAGTTGAACTGTTTTATTGATAGAAAAATGGTGTAATTCAGCCAATACAAATTAATTTTTATTGTATAATTTTGTAAACATAGAATTGAGGACTGTTGAGTCTACTACAAATTGCAAAAATCAAGAACAAACAATATAGAACATGTTCATGTATGGCATTAGTTCATAAGAATGTGGTATGTCACACAGTTGTAATTAATATAACTTAAAGGCTAAGATCAGGAAGGACTCTGTTGGTCTATCTAGGCTGTCTCATCTTCAGACTTAAACCTCAAGAAAAAAACAACTCAAAGCCAGCCCTTATTATTTAAATATTTATCAAGTTTTCTTTTAAAACTCCATTACATTTATCGCATTCACCACATCTGAAGGCAACCCATTCCAAAGGCTAACCCACATCTTTAAGAAATAAAACTTGGTTGAAGATGACTCTCTGCTAAAATTTGTGTCCTTTAGTCCAACCATTCTCACCATTAAGTATGAAAAAGGGTGATTCAACAACACAAGTCCCTTAACAAACTGAACACTTCATTCAAATCCCACTTAACCCTTCTTTTATCAATTCATGCTAGTTGAAGATGACTCCTACCCTGCTAAAATGTGTGTCCTTTAGTCCAACCATTCTCACCATTAAGTATGAAAAAGGGTGATTCAACAACACAAGTCCCTTAACAAACTGAAACACTTCATTCAAATCCCACTTAACCCTTCTTTTATCGATTCATGCTTAGTCGTAAGTACTACTGAACCCACTTACTATTTGGCATTCATGACGTACAAAAACCTGTTAAGCATAACTGTTAATTATGTTTTCAATAATGGTATCTTGATTATTTCCATTCAATGATGAAATGGACCAAGCTAACAGAAAATTCATATTATGATACTATAATGAATTTGACAAAGGTTATTCCTATTCTTAACTTTTATGGAGGGATGTAAGTTGCAATGAAGACACACCTTGAATGAACTGGATGGCTTTTTGTACAGTGAGACCACAAAACATGCATTTTCCATCTCTCTTCAGCAGCATACTGTACTTTTCTGTCTAAACAAAAATAAAACTTTGTCTCTTTGTTGTTCTGATAAGTTAACACAAATTTTGGATACACTGTTTATTTTAATTTTTTTATGTAATGGACTTTTTTTTTAAGAGTTAAATAATTGTACAATGTTTTTGATTATCATTTAAATCTTTGGAAAGTCTATTACGTAAAAGAAATTAGGATAAATATCAGGACGACGAAGAGACAGTTTTGTCTTTGTTTAGACAGAAAAGTACAGTATGCTGCTGGAGAGAGATGGAAAGCATGTGTTTTGTGGTCCCATCTTGTTCATGTCTTCACTTCAACTTGCATCCCCTTTCTCCACAAAAGTTCAGCAAAAGGCATAAGCCAAAACATTGGGTGGAATCAAAAAACATCCGAAGTTGTTTGTTGTCTTCATGGAAATTTGTTTTCATCCTTCAGTCATCATTAAAAACTTCAAAAAATAATAAAAGTATTATATAGATGGACATTCTATAATTTCAA